AAAAAAATATAGCTTGCTCTAATAGATTTACTTTAAAGATAAAAATAATCTAAAAATTATAATTCTAAAATTGAGATAAGGATTTAAATACAAGTGATCTAGTAAAGTTAGTATAAAGATTGCAGATCAAAGGGTTTAAATAAAATATCTAGCAAAAGTGTTAGATATAGCAAATAGTAAAGAACCTTTAAACAGATTCTTTAAATAAGTAATATAAAAAAAGTTATATATATAGCTAGTTGTATGCTTTTCTGTAACAGTTTAATATAAACATATGTTTATATAAATATGTGTTTAACAAAAGTATTAATAAAGTTAAAAAACAAATGATGTAATGATCTAGTGAAGTGTCAGGTTGTTAATCTCCCAAGTGGTAGATTAAATATTCAAATCCATCAATAATAAAAATTTAGATAACTATCTATATAATATTTGTATTATAATAACTGTTACTAATGATTAGGTTAAGATATCTATAATAGTGATCATACTAGCATGACTGGCAGGTTATAGAGCATCTGTGCAATGTTGAAGTTATACAAAGAAATGCAAACTGACAAGTTAGAAGGTGTAAACACTAGATAAGTCTTATGGCTATATAAATTTATTAAAATTGATAACAAGAAATCTATTTGAAAAAACTTGAATAAAGAGATAATAAAATCTTTGATGGTACTACAGTAAAGACTAGCTCAGAAAACTGGATACCAATATAATAGTAACTGGTTATAGTATTCAGATGAGTAAGAACCTCTGAGTTAAAAGTCTAAGAAGTACCACCAATCAGGCCACTAAAATGAACTAAAGAAAAAGGATATCATATCAATCTAATATACTAATAGACTGGTTGTAGTCTTACACAGTCTATTGGAATTGGAATTTGGTAAAAAGACAATTGAAAAGACAGTGATATACTAAAATACTAGAATAATGCTGTAAAGTAAATGCTAAGGTTTAAGTGAACTCTATAAGAACATAGTAGTTTAATGGTTAAGCCCTAACTGCAAGTGTTGGTTCTGCAATAGTGATATCTAGATCAGTTATAAAAATAAGTACAGAAGGCTCTGAGAGATTTATCTTAAGAATAAAATAGTTCTAAGGTTGAGATAATGATCTGGACATTAGGTATAACCCAGTGAAGTTAACAAGTTTGCAGATTCAGAGGGTTTAAAGTAGAATACCAAACAGGAGTGTTAGATACAACAATTGTTAAAGAACCTTTGAGCAGATTTTTTAAATAGGTAATATAAAAAAGTTATATGTATAACTAATTATATGCTCTTTCTGTAGTAGTTCTCTGAACTATATTTATTATTGTTAAATAAAGTCAAAAAACCCAAGAGCTTACCTTAATACTAAAAAAAAAAATAAATAAATAAATATAAAGTCAAAAAACCAAAAAGGTTATTTTAATACTTAAAAAATAAATTTATAATAAATAAATAATAAATAAATCTATATAAAAAGTTTTATTAAGATTATAAAATAGTGTTACAAATTATCAAATTTCTTTTAATCAATTAGTTGTTTATTATTTTTTTAATTAGTTACAACTAATCAATTAATTGCAATTAATTAATTAATTATAACTAGTTAATTAATTGATTAATTGATTAGTTACAACTAATTTATTAAGTAAATAAATAATTTTTCAATTAATTTTTTGTAACTAATCAATTAATTTTTTAATCAATTATTTGCAACCAATCAATTAATTAATTAATTTATTAATTGATTAGTTGGTATTTAAAAAGTTCAGTTAATTAGTTGTTAACTAACAAATTAAGCAATTTATTTTGATTTTGATTTGTATCACTATTATAGAACTTTACTATTAAAAATAATCAAAATCTCTTTTTGTTTTAGAGAAATTAGCAAGATAATAACCTCTATTATTTTGCTATTATATTACTATTATATTAGTTATATTAACAAACCTCCTACTATTTTATTATTATTTTACTATTATGCTGCTATTATACTGTTATTATTTGGCAGATATAGAGTAGAATAATAACAGATTTTTTTCTGTATTTACCTATTATACACTTTTTATTTATTTGTTCAACCTGTATAAGTATGAAGAAGTAAAATCAAGATTAGTAATAACTTGGTTATAGCAATCAGTAAAAAGATCAAAAAGAATATTAATTATAGATAAAAAAAGTAAAAGACAAAAAATAAATGTCTAAAAAGATTAAAGTTAACAGAATCATATGCTTTACTTATATCTTGTAAGAGTAGTCCAATTTATTTGTAATTGTAAATAGCATCTTCAATAAGATTATTAAGAATATAGAAAGTAATTAAAGTATTATTATTAGAAAAAACAACATAGTTAAAAGATGAGAGAATAGAATTAAATGAAAAAATAGAATTAACTTTGTTTGTGAGAATTTTGGTATAGAATTTATAAATATGTTTAATAAGACTAATAAGTTACATAAAATTAAAATTGTTATCAAAAGTGTTATGTTAGAAATAGAATAAATTCTACTGTGTTTTCATTGCTTAGTAATTCTATTTTTAAGAAAATAATAGTTAAAGAAACTAGTAATAGTAAAAATATATTTAGAACTAATATATTTGAATATTTTATAAATAATAGCTATAGAACCACAAGCTTTGTTGTTAGATAGCTAAGAAAGAGTTTAAAGAAGTTCTTTATTAATAATAGAAGAGTTAAAAAAATAATACTAGCTTAAATTAATATAAGAAAGCAAAAGATAATATTGTTGCCAAAAATTACTAAAAAAAGTTTGATTAATAAGTTTAAGTCTAGTTTAGTTATGAAAATATAATTAGATATATTTTTTAATAAGTAATAGATTAGTAATAAGTTTATTAGACAGTTTTATATTATAGAGTATCTGCAAAAGAATTACAATATTCTATAAACATGATTTTGTAATTCAAGATATGACAATTAATGCCAATATGTTTATATAAAGGTTTGCTATAAGTATGTAAAAATGTCAAAATTATAGAATAAATTAGATAATTACTGAAAATAGAGATTTGACTATTATCAAGACTGTAAGAGAAAAAAAATTGTATATTAAATTGAACAGTTCAGATGTAATAAAAATAACTACTACTAGTATCATTAGACTATATAAAATGTTTGTTATTAAAATGAGCTCCAATATTATATATATTAACATTATTAAAAAAATTAAGAAGTTTATATTTAAAAGAAGTTACTATTATGCTATCTTCTCTAAAACAAATAAGGATTTTGATTATTTTTAATAGTAAAGTTCTACAACCCTGATAAAACTTTCAATATACTTTTTTTTTGTTTATTCTCATAGTTTTATTTTTTTTAAAAAAAATACTTTAACTTTATAAATAATTTAAAATTAAATTGATTTAAACAACCAATCATTCGAAAGTCTTCCTATGATCGTTGCCCTACTCTTTTAATGCATGCAGATGGCTTCGTGACAGGTTAAATAATTATATTGGTCTTTTTCATTAAATAAATTAAAAACTATTACATGGCTATGTAATTATATATGCCTAAATGAATGACCACAATCTTATATGAACTATGTGATTCTGTGTATATTTCATTAATGATTTAAATTTCATATAGTTTGCCATTAAATTAATACATGTAAGTTAATAAGAAGCAATATATTATTTTAAATACTTCTATTAAAAAATAATCTATATTACCGAATCAATTAAGTAATTTGCTGCTAAAATATGAAGTAATTAATATGGTATAAATAAATTATTTTAAATTACTCAATGGCAAATGTTCGCTATATTCATCAGTTACATAAAATAGCAACGAAAGTGAATAGTTTATTAGGAAAAGACTACGTACATACAAGAATGCACATCAAAACTATACCAATACTAATCTATCTAAGTCGCATATAAAGTCCGTCAAGATAACATAGAATTCGACTTACTGCACATATAATCTAAATTATTGTTGCAAGTGAAACTGGTAAAAGTTAAAAATCTTAATAAAAATTGATAAAAGTAAATATAGGAGCCAACAAAGAACTTATGACGAAGACAGTTTCGTCAGTAACTCTATCTAAAATTCACCTTACATTCCTGGTTTTGCTTGACAACGTCGCGCAGCTACTTATTAATATCGCTGTATATTTGGTAATCCATCCAACATACGTTGATGCACCAATAGTGATGCAGTAGAATCGCTTCAATGACTATTGCAACTTGCCGTAAATTGCTGTAACCATATATATGGCGATAACTTATAGTTGCGACAAATTACAGCAAGTTACGAGATTCATTGAAACGATTCTACTGCATCACTACTCACCAATTCACAGAAACCTCCAACACTGCCCAAAAAATCAGTTGGGTACGGGAATTTTAAAGTCCTACATTGTTTAATACAAATAATTTATTGATATAATCTTTTTTTTTTTAATAAAGCAATGAGCAAATTGAATTTTTATTTAATTCTCGTTATGTATGCTGTGCCTCAGACTAGCACTTGCGTTATAGGGTTAGAGTCATGACTAAAGTGTATATCCTTTTTTACTAACATTAGATCAATTAATTTGATAATAAAACTAACAATTTTAATTCAATTTTGGAATAAAAGTCCTCGACTTACATCTTTCTATACTATATTTACTTAATAAATAATAATTTTGACAATTTGTCGAAATTGGTTATTTTCATAAATATTGAGTTCCTTGTAATATATTACTTAATATATGAAGTTTAAGTAAAAGCTATGAAATATAATTGATATTGGTAAAAAAATTTTTACTATTGAGAAGATTTATCTTTTTTAATAATTTGCCAAACTTCATAATCTTCAATTTCATATTTATATTTTGATTGTAATTTATCAAATTTACTAAAATTTGGATGACTATTATGAACAAATCTTTGATAAATATATAAACAATCTGTATCTATATATATGTCATGACTATCTTCATTACTAAATTTATATTTCTTGTTCCAACCGAAACATGGACCATGAAGAGAATAACATTTATCAGCTAAGCAATTTTTTCTAACTCGTGAAAGATTAGAAATATTTAGATCATTTTTGTTATCAAAGTAAAATAAAAAATTGTCATCTGAAATTGAATATTTAACATCATCGGTTTTTTCTGATCCAGGATGTTTCCAACTTAAAGCATTAAACCCACCTAATAGACCTAAATCCATAATTTTTATGATTGTTACTGTTTGTCCTTTATCATCACATAATTTATGAAATGTTTGTGAACTAAATCCATCTCTTTTTGCACAATAAAGAAGTTTGAAATAATATGGATTATTGTTGGAATTATAATATAAAGATTCATTTGGAGTTATTTGGTCATTATTATTTGACGAAATATTTTTCAAATCTTTCTTATCGATCCAACTTGCAATAATATCAAAATGTTGTGGCCTAACATGAAACATATGATTAGGTGGTGTATATCTTGGCGGTAAAATTCTAGTTCCATTTGATGGCATTACATTATAACAAATATAATTAAGAATCGGTTCGACAGAAATAATATTTTTAAGGAAATCAAAGTACTCTAAAATTTCATGTTTTGACATTTGGTACCAACGAATTAAGGGAATATAATCATGTATAGTCTTTTCTAATATATCGTAATCTTCTTTTTTCCATACCTTAAAGTTATTATGAAGAATAGTTGAATTTTGAGCAATACCCCATAGTACTAAATAATTCCAAATACTTATTTCTTTTAATGTACCCAAATCATCTCGTTGTAATATAATCATTAGCATTGACTTGTCCAATCGAGTAAATTTCCGATGCTCAAATAATAATCTAGGATTGATACATATAATATGAAGACATAGTTCATGAAGAGATTTAAATGCTTCATTATTGAAAATAATTCTCATTACACCAAATGCATCAAAATTCATATATTCCTCTAACTTTTGGTCTATAAAGTTTAGCATATGATTAAAAAACTTTTGAAGTTGCATTTGATCAGCAATTACTAATAAATCTAAAAGCTCAGTACAATTTAAATTGTCTAAAACGACTTTTGTAAAACCCTCGCTTAAAAATAAACTATCCGTAATTATGTTATGCTTTAACACTTTAGCCGCCATCATAAGTTGAAAAATCTCCTCTTCATTTAAATTTCCAAAAATAGTTTCAGCATTTGTTAATAAGTTACTGACAGTTTTTCTGTATTGAAAATCATTAGATGTTACCAATAATTGTAAGATCTTTTCGCTACTTAACTTTCTTAAAAAAGAGTTGACAGAATCCATGCTTGATAACATATTATCAAAAAATTTTCGAATCACTATTCTATTGTCCGTTTTCATAAGATCTAAAACATCATTTATGTCCAATTTTTCTAAAACGATTTTCATATCAGATCTATATTGGAGATAGAAACTAAAATCCAACTCAATAATTCTTACTATAAGACGTAAAACTTCCGTACTATTCAATTTGCTTAAGACTATTTTTGCAAAATTGGATCTTGATAATAAATATTTAATTATGTTAGCAAGTTCGAACTCATTGGCAGTTTCTATTAATTGCAAAACTTCGGATCCATTCAAATTACTTGAATCAATTTTTGTAGTATATAGATATCTTTAAACAAAAAGAAAAAAAAATCGATTTAAATTTGAAATAATAATAGTAAAGTAATTATTTTTTAATTTTTATAAATACCTTAAAATTACTCTAAATATTGTTTCCGAGATATTATTTATAGTAAAAGAAGAAATTTTTCCATCATTTTTAGCGTAATTCTTATTATTAAGAATGACAGTTTCGAAATAAGATGATCGAGAACATAGAATGAATGAATGTGCATGAAACTCTTTTGAATCATCACCTTCGCCAACATGAATGACAACATCATAATGTTTTTGGGTTCGGAACAACATTTCATTTAAATTGAAAAGTTCCTTATGCGTATTGATTTCTTCTATTTTTTGACAATATGAATAAATAGATGGTTTATGCCTTAATGCTTTATTATAAAGATAATAATAAAGAATATCTTGATGCAACTCTGTAGATTTAATTGACAATATATTTTTAAAAAAGTTAAAAAATTCCGAGTCCTGTTGAAATTCATCTAGTGATATTCGGAACCAACGAATCAAGGGTATAAAATCGTATATAGTCTTTTTCAGCATAATGTAATCATCATCATTCCAAGTTTCAAAACTTTTTCCTTGAAGAGTAGAATTTTGACCAACACCCCATATGACTAAATATTTCCATATACTGGATTCACTTAATTCGCCTAGATCATCACGTTGTATTATGAGCATTAAGATTGATTTGTCCAATTGAGTAAACTTTCGATGTTCAAATAGTTTATTAGGATATATACATATTAGATGAAGACAAGACTCCCGGAATGATTCACAAATATTATGCTGGAAAATTATTTGCAATACACCAACTGCATCATTCAACACGAATTTTTCCAATCTCTGATTAATAAATGATATAATCTTATCCATAAGACTTTGAAGAAGTAACTCATCAGCAGCCATTAACAGATTTATAGCTTCGACAAAGTCAAACTTTGTAAGGATAATTTCCGTAGTATACAAATATCTTTGAGATTTTGTAATATAATTAATATGTTTAATATATAATTCATTAATAATTAATTAATAATAAGTATAAATTGCAAGAATGTAAAATTAAAACATACCTCAAAATAATTTCAAATATATTTGCAGGAATATTTGGTTTTGTGAAAACATAATAATTACCTTCCTTCTTAGCCCAATTAGAAGAAAGTGCCGCATTAAAATAAGATGAACGTTCACTTAAGATAAGAGAATGAGCATGTATCTCTTTAAAATCATTTCCTTCACCACAACGAATGATTACATCAAAATTATAGCCATTTTGAAGTAACTTTTCATAACTGCGAGCAAGATCTTTAAATCTATTTGATGCCATTGTTTCAGGCATAAATATTATAACTCTTTTGAATCAAAAAAAAAAAAAGTACTGCTAAATTGGTGTTTATATAGAAACTTAATAATATATCTATACAATAAATCACATTGTTAACAACGATTAGAGCAAACAATTTGTGTCACGTTCGGAAATCATATGTGAATTTATATTTGCCTTCTATGGGAACCCCTGTAGCGTTTTATATGTATCACGTGAATTTTAATTTACAAACAAATTAGTCACCTTTTATCGTTATAGGTAATGATTTTTTATGTGCATCAAAAACTTTTTTATTCACATTTATTACACAAATTCCGTGTAACCAGCATTTGTGATTTATAGATTCCCAATTCAAGTGTACGTTGTGACTGCTCTGGTACATTATTCATTTTTCCTTTTCCATATATTATTATTATTACGTATTATTATTTTTTTTTTGCTTAATTATAGAACATTTCCCTTTTGTTGTTAGTGTTGGTATATATAGTCTAAAAATAGTGGTCGGTTAAAGCGGAGTTAGCTTTAAGATTACCTTTTTGATGCAGTTATATAGATATCAAAAATGCTATCTATGTAGTATGTAGATCATATATTAAATTAACTCTCTACTTTTAACCAACCCCTAAATAAAAGGTAAAAAGATAATACTGTAGTAGTACAGCTCGATAAATTCATTTTTTGAATTTATTGAATTTATTGAATTTCGCACTTGAAGTGAATTTTGTGACTTTAGTAGCTTTAATGTCCTTAGCTAATAGAGTGTCTTTAGCGAATAAGTTTCTTGTGTAATTAATAGTAATGACAAATGTATAAAAAGACCCATCTTAAACCTTGAATAAAAAAAAGAAGAGAAGAAAAAAAAAAATTCTTGGAGTTCGAAAACTTCAAAGTATTTAGCAGAAGTCGTAGTCACTAATAAGTTTCCCTTTAATCGTTCGTTGTCATGTCTCCTTGCCACCGATTAGAGGCCCTGCATTGGGTCCCACAGCCTGGCCCGGCCGGGCCTGAAACAAAATTTTATAATTACGGGCCGGGCCTCAAAAATAGGCAATTTGCAGGTCCCTCCCCCGATATTGTATTTTCGTTAATAAGTCGTTAGTTCTTGTTCCTGTGACTAGAGATGGGAAAATCTAGAGATGGGTTTCATGCGTGCGCATGATTGCGGAAACATGCGCATTCATGCGCATTTTATCCCATCAAGATTTCTCTCCTCTCGATCGTTTTTTCTTTTTTTTGCCTTTTTTTTATCATGCGATATCATGCGCATGAAACATTTCGTGCGCATTAATGCGCATTCATACGCATGTTATTATAAAATGCGCATTTTTCCCATCACTAGGAAGATCGAGGATTTTTCGAATCTACTGCGCATGCTGCGCAGCCTGCACGGGCCTGCATTACGGCTAATACGGGCCAAAATTGTTAAATTCTGCGTTATTACGAAAAATTCCGGGCTTCCGGAAAATTCCGCCTGCGCAGTGTCCCATCTCTACCTGTGACTATCGAATACCGTATTTTCATATTAAGCAAAAGAAAGAAATCGTATTGGTTATACAAAAACTCATATACAGTATAACCTAGATATAACGAAGTTCTGGAGCTGGAGGTTTTGCTTCGTTGTGTCAAAACTTCGTGGTGATCAACATCATGTGACATAATTCCACATTCTGATTGGCTAAATTCGATACAAGACCTGGTCGCAGTACCTTCAAAAGACGACAGTATAAGCAAAAAAGAAAGCAACCAAATAGACCAAACAAAGAGTAATGAACATTTATCTTGACACAACACTATCTCTAAAAACCTAATTTACTCTGATTATTCAGACCAATTCTTTCCACTCCCAATCGTAGCCTTACTAATATTAGGGTTTGATTATTATGTTTCTTGATATCATAGCTTAGCAGTCACATGATTTGTCACACTTAAAAATTTTTCATATAAAATGTGAGTGATTGACATACATATGAGAGGCTTATTTCTAATAGTAAATTACAACGGTAGCCCACTTTTAGTCATTTATTACAAGGGTTTCTTAAAAGGAAAACACACTCACGGGATGTAGTATGGCTATTCAGAAAGTAAATACTATATGATACGCAAGTTTAAAGTTGGGATAAAAATAAACCCGAAAATAATCTAGTCTTCAAAAATCACTCGTTTATTCATCTTGTATAACATTAACAAAGTAATAAAGACTTACATTTCAACAATTTATAAAGTTTTTTTTTAACTTTTCAGAGACTAGCTTATTAATTACCTTTAGTGTGATCAAGACGGGTTTCAGGTTATTTATATAATAAGTGGGTTTGGTATTATTTTATTAATTTTAATATGTAATTGAAATTATTAAAATTTATTACTAAGAATATTATTAACTTAAGTTTATATGTACAGTGAAACTTCTCTTGGCGCATTCTATTGAGATTATAGTGGAAAAAAATAAAATATGCACTTATAGAGAGCAAGCTCCTGTTAGTTGGAACTAAGCTATACTGTGCATTTGAGAATTATTTTAGTGTATACTTAGGAAAGTCTTACTGTATATAGTTATGTTAAAATAAATAGTATATTATTATAAGTGGGTCTAATAAGTCTCAGGTTTCTTTTCTAGTCTAAGTCTTGAGTTTTCTTTCTAAAGGCTCAGGTATCTTTTTAATTACCAGAAACAAAATTTAATTAAAATTTTTATATATTTGATAATAAATATTATTTATATTAAGATTGTAATTTTATATATTTCAAATAAATAATATTTTATAAATAAAAAATTATCAATTGTTAATCTTCAGTTATATTAGTTATGTCAGTTATATTGCTTTTAAGTTTTTTAAATTTATTAAATCATAATCTAAATATTATAATATTTGTGTTTAACAAATATGATAGAAAAATTAAATATAAAGTCAGTCTTAAGCCCATCTAACCTTACTTATTCCTTAGTTAGAAATAAAAAATATAAATTTTAAAAAAGTTAATTTCAAATTCATTAAATAAAAAAAAAAAAAAACAGAAAAAATCTTATGAGTTTTTGTCTGACATTAAAGAAATCTGTGATTATTTTAGTAAAGAATTTAATATTCTTATATTTAACCAACAATCACTTAAAAAGTACAAAAAATACTAACTGCATCAAGCAATGATTCAGATGATAAATTCTTTGAATATGTTAAGAAAGAAATGCAAAAAATACATAAGAAATTTGAAAGACTAGTCTTTTTTTTTATTTCAAATACTAAATTTACAGATTGTGTTATTATCAATAATGATAATAATTAAAATAAAATTTAAAGATGTACTAAAGTAGGCATTCACTGTATTAAACAACTAGGTGATACATAAAAGATTAACTCTTAAGCTGTACTAAAAGTTGAAGAAAAGATTCCAAAATTAGGAATTTGTTTGCATTATCTCAACTATGATCAAAATGTTTTATACAAACCTTGATAAAGACTATTGTAACACTTCAAATAATTACTCGTTTAAAAATCCTTATTCATAGGGTATCCTGGGTCAGCTTGTGTAATATTGAACAATACTACTATGAAAAAGAGTGTGGATTTGGCAGAGCATATGCTTTATTAAAGTATATGTAGATATGTTCTGTTCTGTGTTTTTATATATAAATGCTTTGTCTTTATATATTATTTACATATCTGCTAATTATGCTAGTTATACTAAATATGTTAGTTATTCTAAATATGCTAGTTACTCTAAATATGCTAATTATTCTGAATTTACTATATATGTAGTTTCTGCTAAATCTACTATGCTACATTCACTAAATAATTATACAATCGTTTTCTTTTAGGTTTAATGCATTATTGACTGGTTTCTAATCATTACACTATGCATAAAGGTGGTAAAATTAATTGGAGAAAGCATTATCAAATTATATTATTATTTATTTTTTAAAAAGCTTAAATAGCTTATTACAAGAGATGCAATATATTTAATACATGCATAGAAGGTTTGTGAATATACACTCCCTAATAATAATAATCAGAATTTTGAAAATTATATATGATCAACAGCAATGATTCATTATAAAAAAATTTTTTTATATAACCAAATTCTAGCAAAAACCAACAATTTTTTTTTACAGTTTCACTAGAAGTTGTCAGTTTTGATTATATATATATTTTTTTTCACATTTTTTTTTTTATCATAGGATAAAGGAAAGAACTTACTGAAAAGCAATATAACTAAATTGTTGATGCTTGATGCAGTGATATAAAGTCAGCAAAAATCATAAAAGCCTTGAAATTTTCTAAGAGCACTGTTTATGATGTTGTTAATTATTATAAAAAGAATAAAGTCATCAAACTTTTTTTTCATCTAAATGTATCTTTTAAAATAGCTAAATGTGTCACTCATCACCTTGTACACCTTTTGAAGCAAGATAAAAAGGCTAGTTTGAATGTTTTAACCAATAAATTTATTTAATCAATATCTATTGAAGTATTTACATGTATCATCCAATGTTGCCTTCATAAAGAAGGGTTTTTTGATTGAGTTAAAAAGAGAAAACTATTTATAAATAAACTCTTCTATGTGGGTCATTTAGAGTAGGCTAAAAACAGAGAACATTGGAATACAAGGTGGAAAAATGTCATCTAGAGTGATAAATCACAGTTTGAAGTATTTGAAAGGGATGGTCAGATGTATGTTTGGAAGAAACCAAAAAAAAAATATGATATATATTATTTGGTTCCAATATTTAAATCGAGAAAAAGAGACATGGTAGTATGGAGCTGTTTTAGTATATATAGTCCTGGATTATTGATTTGGGTTTTTGGTAAGATGAATGTGAAGGACTATACTAAGGTTCTTTATAATTGTTTGTTATCTTATTTAGAAGGTCTAGAAAACATTGTTGAAAAAAAAAATCTTTTTCAAGATGATAATGCAAGAATTTACTCTGCAACATTTACCAAAAATTGGTTAAAAGAAAATTATGTTGACATGCTTCCTTGGCCTTTGTACAGCCCAGATCTCAATCCTATTGAACATATTTGGAATGAATTAGAGCATCATATATGTAAGCTTATTCCTCTTCTAGGCAGTAAGTTGAAACTATTCTGTTTGCTTCAGGATGAATGGTTTAATTTGGATGGTTCAATTTTTAGAACTCTTGTTAAAAGTATACCTTGTCATGTTCATGCTATAATTGAAGCTAATAGCTATCCTACATGTTATTATTAAATAAAAAAAATTTGATCCAATTTGATAAACAGGTTGTTGAGAAATTGTAGTTATAAAAACTTATAAAAAAATAATCATTATACTGTAACTAATAAATTCCATTGATTACTGTCAGAGGAGTGTACAATTCAAGCTCCATGTCATGGATTGTTTAATTACTCAGCAATGACTAAATATTATAAATTATCAACTAAATTATTCAGTAATAATAACTCTTGCTTTATTTGTACAAACTGTTTTGTAATATATAGAAGTCAATTGTATATTTAGTCAGAAAACAAAAAAAGGTCAGATTTATGCTTAAACAAAAGACTACATAATAATGATACAACATTGGTCCTAAAATCATTTAGTAAATGGATTGAGCAGATTGCTGAATCTGAAAATAAAAATGTAAAGTTTGATTTGTTAAAAAAACTTGTTAAAATCTTCAATAGTAGTACTCATAAGGTACAGAACCTTATGACTAATTCTTTTATAACTTCTACAATTCACAGTTATTTTTTAATAAAAATTACATTTGCTATCAAAGTAAAAAAGCACAAGCAATATAGTTAAAAAATAACATATATAGAAAATTCAGAAAAGTACTTACCTATTCTATATTACAAGTATGACCAAAATATAAGTAAAAATTAAAATTACTTGAAGAGCCAGAATCTTTAAATGAATATTAAATGCCATGTCATCATTTCTAATAAAATTTTTTGTTAGTTTTATTTAAACTTTAAAAAAAAATAAGAATCAAATATTAGCTAGTAAATATAAAAAAGAAACTTGTATTTATTGCAATTTAATGAAAGAAAGTTTCAAATATGTTCTCTTTTCTTCATTTCAGTATTGCTTACTATTTCCTTTTCTTATTAGAAAATATAGTTTATACATGTTTTTTTTGCTTTATCAATGACCACAAATAATAAGATTCCTGTATAGATATATTATGCAGTTTGAGTAGTATTATATATTAAAGATTATAAAACATGTCTATAAAAAAAGAATACTAACTGCAGAACCTTGATTAAAAATCAATTTACATCAAAATGCAATAAATTTCATGCTTATAGATTATATTGATATGAAAAACAAGACCTTACAATATGGCAATATTTATAATATAATTCATTTTACTATACATATAATACTGAGAATAGTTATTTAATCTTAATATTCAAAACTTGCTATTTTAGAACTATTAAAAATTCAGAATCTCTTTAGCATAAATCTTATTATGAAAAAATGGCAAAAAAAGATCAATTCAGTTTTTAATTATTTAATTATTCAAAAACAGAAATTTGATACTAAATATATTAATAAAG